CCACTTGCCCATCAGTTTGTGGATGAAAGTCCATGCTAAGCTTAGCACGAGTACCAAGACCCTTTTGAAAAGATCTCCAAAACTGAGAAGTTGTCACGCCCCGAGCCTACAGCCTGGGCGGGACTAGCACTCGAAGACCATTGCTGGCCCAAGCGCACCTTGGCCTGACTTACTAACTCAGCGGAAGACAATATTCATATCTATAATGATAAATGAACTTAATTGAACTGAAATAAAATAACTGAGAATATTTTAAAGATTAAACATTCAACTTGGCCAAAAGTGGCAACCCAAGTCTTAACAATAAGAAATGATAATGAAAAGACTCAAAGGACTAACATCTGATTGTCTATGAAGCCTCTAATAACAACTGAGATGGATGTTGGGACAGACCCCACAACATCCTTAAAAAAAAACTAAACTAGAAAGCAATGAAATGGATCCTCCGGAAAACAAGGAGGCTCACCGACTGACTTTGAACTGCTCAACTGGATCAACGAGGCGCTGGATGCTGATCCTAGTTACCTGAATCTGCATCATAATAAGATGCAGGCCAACTGACATTAGTACATTGAATGTACGAGTATGCAAGTTGGAATGCTAAGCAACATAGGCTAGAAGGAAGCTGAAAGAAACTGAATAACTTACCTGGCTCAACTCAACTTAACCTGACTGACTCATTTCAATATAAAGCAATTTAAAACAAGTGCAATATAAAGAAAACCTGTTTAAAAACATGCTATAAACTCTGTGTGTACGCAAAGATACAATAATCTGAGATGTATGTAGAAATACAAATGAAATGATGTATATAAAAATACAATAACTGCTGTGGGAGTTTCTCTAACCGACAACCATCACATAAGAGCTATAATGATGATACAACGATCAACCTCACGCTGCCAGAGCATCCTATACCCGGCCAAAGGTATAGAACCTGAACTGCCTAATGGATCCACTAGTCTATCTTGAAAAGGATTCATCTAAAAAGTATGAACCTCTTCTA